GGTTGTACGCGTTCTTCAGCTGACGGTCCTCATCTGCATCATTCCCGACTCCTTCAAGATTGTCCTTGGCTACTCTTCATTCCATCAATTGGTTTTGGGATGGAACCTCACTTGGGCTTCATCTGCGCTTTCTATCTTAGTGCGCTTAATCTGCGTAGGACTGCACTCGTTTTCCTCCCGTTTCTTACACGCTTGACTGTTTGCGTGGGACTGTACTCATTTTCCCCCTGTTTCTTATTCGTTTGACTGTTTGCGTGGGAACGCATTCGTTTCACACCGTTTGTTACAAGTTTGACTGCACTCGTTTTCCCTCCATTTCTTACACGCTTGATTGTTTGAAACGAGGGTGGGGAGTATAGAGTACGCAGCTTGTATTAGAACACATAAATTATGGATTACTATACAGTGTTGCAACACAAGAAAATAAAACTTAAAAGCGAAAACGATATAAAAAATACAAATCTTCGGGGAGCGTCCCACTACCCCTCAGAGCTCTTTCATTGATAAATCGGTTTTGCATCCCACAAAATACAGTTTGGACTTATGCACGTCCAGAACTCCTTATGCACGAATTGTTCATCCTTTCATAGTCATTGCCACTTATTCCTTGTCCTACAAGAAAGAGAGAACTAATTATGGCATGTGGTATATATGTTAAGTAAATATATAATATATATATTATGTAATCCTTCTCCTAAAGGATTAGGATTCTATAATACATACTACAATAAATATATACCATATATTATTAATAATAAATATTAGAAACTTAATTAAATCACAAGTAAATAAATAGAAAAACTTCCCTTTAATTTACTTTGCTTGCTTAACAAGAAATTTTATAGAAAACACTTAAATTTGTCAGACGTTGCCAAATCAATATTCTTACACTGTTAAATTTCACATTCAATTCATGTCAAGCGCAAAATGAAATCTTTCCACTTAACATACATAAAAACTTAAGAGAAAAATAATTAATTAGTGAGGCCAATTTCATTCATACACCCTTATTTTTAAATTAAATGTACAAGCATGACTAAAAAAATACAGTAAGCAAATTATATAGGCAAAATTGAATATTAATACACCTCATTCTATATTTTTGCTAATCACCACCTTTGTAATTTAACAATTTAATACACAACTTTGACTATTTTTTTGCAATTTGAATCACATGGCCCAATTTCGGGCTTTTTGTGCTGACAGGACATTTTACGGATGACGTGGCGTTGACATGGCATTCAGTGTGTCAATGACATGGCGTTTTGTGCTGACATGATAATCCATTCGATATAAAAAAAATTATGTTGGTCATGGGATTTGAACCTGGGATGTGAAGGTTGCATGTAACTCTACCACCACCACACCAATCCAAGTTCAGTAATATATTTGATAGCGTTTTATAATAAAGTAAGATATATGAAATTAAACGAAAATAAAATAAATTAAAATAAACAAGATAAATAAAATATATAACTTTCTTAATTCATACTTTATGTTAGAATAAAACATATTAATAATACTTGATAAATAATATTTCATAATTCATTATATTCATTTAAATTTTTATTGATTTTAATTTAATGTTTCATAATAAGCTCTTATATTTATTATTTTATTTTATTTTCCTTTACTTTTTTTATACTTTATTATCTTATATTATATTATTTTTATTATATTACTGGTGTACTTTAGTTTATATTCATTTTAAGTTTACATTATTATTTTTCATTTACAAAATTATATAATTAGTTTTATTTACCAAATAATAAATATATAAATTTATTCAAATTTAATTTAATTTTAATCATTCTACTACAATATGTTTTATCTTAATTTTATTTTAATTATTTTATTTATATTTATTTTTATAATTTATATTTTATTATTTGATTTAATATAATTTTCATTATCATTTAAATTTAATTTAATTTTTTTTATACGTAATGTATATATATAAATTGTTACTTGAATTATCAACTAAATTTGATTGATGTGGTGGTGGTAGAGCTACGATGCCATGTCAGCAAAAAAAATGCCATGTTATTGACACGTGGAACACCACGTCAACTGTAAAATGCCATGTCAACACAAAAAACCCGAAATTGGGCTATGTGATTCGAATTTCAAAAAATTGTCAAACTGTATATTATAGGCCTGTTTTGCTGACAGTACTTAATATAGGTAGCTGTAATGTTGTCGTGTTGAGGTTTTTTGTTTTCTTTTGTAACCTTTAGTTTGCTGTCATTTCTTTTTGTGAGTCGCTGTCATCAAAGGGGAATTTTTAGTGCACTCTCACTTTCTTTTATTAATTTTTATTCCAAATTATTATTTTCGTCGAGAGATTTCACAACATTTACTATCAAACTAGTATGGTACCCGTGCGCAGCACGGTGGGGTTATTTCCTCAAACCTTTTATTTTTAAACTTTATTTTAAATATTTTTTTTTATAATTTAATAATTTAATTACAATAGAAAGAAGATAGAGGAATATAAAATATAAACAAAAATCATATATTATTAAACACTTCTCTATACACAACATTATTGATTTGATTTTCTTTCAAACCTTCTTCTCCACAAATTAAAATTTTTAGACTATTTCTGTTAGTAACACGAGAGACAACGACATATAACTGGTCATGACTAAAAACTGGTTTCTTCAAGAATAAGCCAACATGCGATAATGATTGACCTTGACTCTTGTTT